TATTTTGTATGGCGGTGGTTTTATTATGGAGCTAAGCCGGGGTCACAGAGGTCGTCTGCTGGAAGTTTTAAAACTGAAAGTGCTGTCTGTTACCAGGACGGCCTTATTATGACGGGGGGATAATCCCAGTTATTTTGGCCAATAATTACAATTTGGCTTGTTTAACATAATTTTAATTAGCGTAACACTTGCCATGGATTCAATTAACGTTTATAGAAGAGTTTTCTTGAACTTTAAATATATTTCAAATGAAAACAAACAAATATCAGAGAGAAGCAGTGGAAGGATACGGGGCCCTTCGGTCGGTGTGCAGCCCACAGTAACAGTATTAGTTTATTCTGAGGCCTCGTGCTGGTCCAGTGCACCCTAACCCTGGTGCGTGATACGCGCCTCTTATAAATTCTCCCTCTACGCTGCATTACATGCGACGTGCCCCACTGGGACCCCTTTATCTTTTCTTTTCTGTCATGAACTCCTTTCTTAATTTCACTTTAACTCACCTTTTGAGTTTAAGAACTAAAAACTAGTTGGTTAGGTTTAGGAAATCAGGGTTTGGGTTGCTTCTGGAAGAAATTGACTCATGCACACGAGCATGTTCTGCATCTCTGTGGGCTGCAGAGGAGGCGGGATTAGATGTTACACGCCACGTTTGTCGATCATGTACCCACCGCTGCCGTCCTGTCTCCGTACGGTTAGGTTTATAACTTAACATCGGTTGCTGACCTCAGCATAAGAGAAACAGTTTTGTGTTGTTCTTCTTCACTCCCAACAACACATTGAGGGAAATCTTAGATACAGTTAGAATGACAGTCTAAAATGGATTCGTATCAGGAAAACCTTTAGAAAATAGAAACAAACACCAAATGTGGATGACGCAAGAACTATTTCTGCAAAAAATCCGCCCAGTCAGCCGACTTCAAAGATTCAAAGAGGTTTAACAGGAATGAGCGCGCTGACATCGGTTCCCCAGCTGTCTGCGTTCACAACTGAGTATAAACCCAAAAGCCAGCTGGTTTCCCAGGGTCTCCTCCTGGCAGGACGTCCCACAAACATCTCGTCTGGGACTCACCAACGAGGCATCCTAGTCAGGTCTTTGAACCTTGGCCGGCTCCTTTCAGTTTGGAGGTGTCTACTCTGAGCCCCTCACCACTAAGGGAACACAATAGTCACATTTCATGGCCATAGGTGAGCCTAGGCTCGTAGCTCAACCAGGAAATGCCTTAACTTATCTTAGTGAATATTATTTCCAGGAACCAAAATCATTGTAATTATGATTTCTGTTTTTAATCAGGCAGCCTTATTGACATCGTTGCATTGTAAAAGACGCGTGGAGCTTCCACCTCTGAGAAGTTAACCCAACGAGTGTGCGCTGTGTCCACTTTTACGCCTCACTTCCAGCTCCATAACAGAACTTCATCAGTGCCTACATCAATAGTTATACTGTCTATGGCTGCAGCCAGTGTTTTCACCACTGTATGTGGTTTAAATGTGGCCGATGAGCTGTGGCAGGCTACTGATTTAGCAGTTCATTAAGGTGCCTGCGCCTGTACTCACCTGACGTCAGTGTAAATGTCAGTCAGAGCTCCTCGTTAACAGCTTCTTCTGTCTCTGTTTGTCTCTGCAGGACTGAACACAGCAGGAAACGCCACACACACCTGACAGGTAAAGCTATTTTTGCTCTTCGCTAATTTGGCCACGCCGTCTGTTTGCTGGTAACGAGGAGCACGGCTGCAGACAGATGCAAACAGCTGCGATGGATCACAATTATCTTGTAGATTTGTGGCACTCATGCTTGCAGTAACAATGATTACACTTATTACTGAAATAAATAAAAACTCTGCTTTTATTCATTTAACTTCCCCCAAACGATTTTCTTGGGACTCGATGGTTCGTGATTTCTTACTGTAACATCTGATCTCAGTCTGTCGTGTCATATGAAATCTCTTTAAAACCACGACGCTGTCATCGTGGGGTAATGACAGATGAATAGCAGCTTCACCAAACTGCTATTTTTAACCCTGTGAAAACAAGATGGGAAGTTGTAATCACAAGGAACAGCCTGTTATCCCAGGATATCAAGATCGCAGAGCTGTTTTACCGAGCTCTCTTTAAATGGAGTGTGAAGGAAACAAAGGTTAGAAAAACTCCACACGGGAATCCAAAGAATGAAACGTAGACTCGCAGTGATGCAGATGAGGAGGTGAGACTGAGCGTTGCAGCCTCGCACTCTCACGTTCCTGATTAATGACGGGGCTGTTCCCAAACAATGACAACTCACGGACACGGTCAGATTGTGATCACGTGTGCACACCTCACACTCACATGCAGGAAGCTATCACGCTCACGCCTCTTTGTGCTTTTCATCATGTCTGTTATTCAGCTCAGGCCGCACACCTGTGGGTTGGTTCGGATCGAGCTCCGATCATGTTCATGCCATAAACGAACCGCTCTGGAGTCGATTTGGGATCGCACATCCGAGTGCAATTACTGTTTTCACACTGGCCCCAACAAAAAGCTGGGGGGGGAATTTGGTGCATCGACATGGTGATGATCCCTCTGACTTTAAAGATGTGCTGCACAGAAACAGGAGATGCGGCCATTACATCATCATTTCACAAGCTGACAGCGGCGCAGTCACCACATACACATAAACTCTCTGATGGCCATGTTTCTCCATGAAATGTGTTCTTCTACTGCACCTGCCATGAAAGCGTGGACGTGGATAAGGACACGTGGATCGCTCAGTGCAAAAACAAACAGATGTTCGAGGCTGTAAATAAGACGCCTGCTTAAACAAATGAAGAGAAATGAAACGGCAGTTACGTAAACACACCGTTGGAGCTGCATCAAGAACAAATCACGTCTCTCTCGTGGAGCGTGGCTGAACTTTCAACATTTAGTGCAATGAAATTCTGCCAGCTGGCGAACAAGCACGGGCAGAAATATCAGAAATATCAGTGCTGCAGATGTTTTCAAGACCAGCTGCATGCGAGAAGTACAATGTTAGAACTCTGACAATAAAATGACTTGAATCGTGCGATTTGGGAGGCAGAGGTAAGTGTTTCATGTTTCTGTTGAATCTGCTGTGTAAAAAGCACAGAGTGGATCATGGAGACGCTGCAGAGTGAAGGAGTTGGTGCTTCAGCGTGAACTCTGCAGCCTCGTTTGTTTCCCTGCAGCTGATTTCTGGTTCAGCTCCAGATGACCTGTACTCCTCCACATTCCTCCCAGTGCGTGTGTGTGTGTGTGTGTGTGTGTGTGTGTGTGTGTGTGTGTGTGTGTGTGTGTGTGTGTGTGTGTGTGTGTGTGT